TAGCTTTTTATTTTTGAGAAAAAAACAAAATGGCAGCCCATATTTGGTTACTCTCCTCTAACTAAATGTTCCACTTTTGCAGAATAAATAAATAAAAATTCAATTAAATTGTATGAAGATAACTCAGGTGCTATTGCAATTGCTAAGTACGGCAACTACAAAAAATTCAAAGCACATCGAAGTGCAGTTTCATTATATAAATGAGAACTATGAAAAGAAAATAATTGATATTGTTAAAATTGATGCAAAACTTAATTTAGCAGACATGTTAGTTAAAAGTTTAGTTTTATAAAAAGTTATAATATATAAGTTGATTGATTTAGTTGTAAAGTTATAAAATTATAAATTTAAGGAGGCGTGTTGTAATTAGGTAAATTCTATAATCTTATATGTATTAATGAAAATGATACACGTAGCGCCATAAAATGGAAGCAGTACTGACAAAACAGTACTGTATGAAAATAAATAAAAGAAAAACCAAAATACTGGTATGCGATGGAAGAAAAAGTAGGGAAAGATCGAATATAATGATAGGAGACAAAAAATTGGAAGAAGTGGTTGATTTGAGATATCTGGGAAGTCAAATAAGTCAGGACGGAAGGACTAGTAGGGATATAATGCAGAGGATAGCGCAGGGTCAAGTCGCCTTCAATAAAAAGAAGTCACTTCTATGCTCGCGGTTAACTTAGATGTTCGTAAAAGGTTATTAGAGGTGTATGTTTGAAGCGCGGCGTTGTACGGGTGCGAAATACGGATAGTGGACGCGGCGGAAAAGAAAAGGTTAGAAGCATTCGAAATATGTTGTGTGTGTTTGAGAACAGAGGACTCTATGGAAGTCAATAACAAACAGGCGGGATAGGTTGGTAGGACACCTTCTCAGACATAAAGGTTTAGTCGGAAACATATTAGAGGCAGAAACAGGAGTTAGGAGGGATAGAGGTAGACCTAGATTAGATTACTGTTCGCAAATTGTTAAGGATGTGGGCTGTTCTAGTTTTAGGGAAATACGAAGATTAGCTCAGAATAGAAAAGAGTCCGTGTCCAACCAGTCTTAGGACTGACGATCTTATGATGATAATGATGAAACTTCAAATTCGCCGGAAACTGCTTCATCCAAACTGTCAGTATTAGTCAACAGTGGGGCAAGCCATCCCAACGACAGTTGCAGCAGTATCAAAAAGGGGTAAAAATAAGTGAAGTGTTTCCTCCACCACCGTATAGTGAAAATCAGTTTTCAAATGTTGAATTTTCCAAAGTAGAATCTCTTGTTTTTTCTGATCCACTTCAAACCATGGCGAATCTTGAAAAAAGAAGCAACAAAGAGATAATAGCTCCTGAATCTCTTGCGACCTTAGTAAAAATAAATGAAAAAATAAATTTGGAGACTAAGATAAATAAATTAGTAACGGACGGTCTTCAGTCGTGCAATCAGAATTATTCTGTCGAAAATTTATTGCTGAAAACTTACATAATTTCTGTGTAAGTGAGGCTTGCTATGATGTTGACAAAATAATTAAGATTACTTTCGAAACAATACATCAATCAAAATCTGATGAATGGTTTAAACAGGGAGTGCTGAGAATAACAGAAAGTAATGCACATAAATTAAAAGATGATTTATTAACTCCGAATAAAATCGAAACATCTGCAATGCCATACGGTACAAAACAATTGAAAACATTGCATTAAAAGAGTATGAAGGATTAATTAGTAGTACACATCAAGTCATTCAAGTCGGATTAATAGTTAATATGTATCAACCTTGGCTTAGTTGCTCACCTGACGCTGTGGTGTTTAGCAAAAACCTTTAGTTAAGCTTAAGTGTCCTTATAAATGCAAACGAATATCAGTTTTTAATCGAGCGAACAATACATGTAACGTGTAATATTTAAAATTTGACAAAAACCGTTTTCGAATGAGTAACACGCAATCTATTTATACACAAATACAGGTACCGTTCGTTTCAGGAAGTTAGAGATATGCCCCTTCCCTTTATTAGGATGCGCCGTAGCATAATTCCAAATTCAATCATATTTATCTGCGGAGCTCATTTCTTCACCGATCATCGAGCGATAATTAGACAAAAGTGTACAGTACCATTTGCAATATTACTTAAACTGCCTCGTTAAAATTTAAGAATATGCTTTATTTAAAAGCATGTTTAGCCAAAAATAATAACAAGTGAATTAACTTAACGCTCTACACACCTATAAAACTTTTGCTTTGTTTTCTATTGTTAATTTATATACATTTTTGTTTTAAGAAATTGCTAAACATTTTTGTCTAGTACTGTGCAGTTCTAGCCGATCTTCTAAGACCGCCCATCGAGAGTTCTGCTTCTTCGAGCTTGTTCCGACTATTTCTGTCTTGCTTATGCCTAGTGTGTATTATTTCTATCTTCGCGCAATTTCTTCAAGGTCACAACTCCAACAAATTGAAATGGACTGTACAAATGTATGTGACCAACATTGTATTAACCTGTTTGGAGTGTTTTAATTACTGTCGCACCTGATAATATCTTATTACAAAGAATTATGCCAAACCTTGAATAATTTTATTTTAGTCATTATATTAAAAGATTAATTAAGAAGTTTAAACAGTGAACTTTATTTTACAAGTGCAAAAATAAATAACTAATATTTACGAATGTCATTTGTTGGAATTACTATTACTAATATTTCCAGCTCAATTATTGTTTTGTAGACTTTAATTTACATTGTCAATCATCGTTATTTTTTTTATCTGAATTTTTTTGAACGTTCAAAACGTTGTAAAGATTGCATTGAACATTTAGTATTTTTCTTTTTCGGGAAAATAGAAGGTACATATGATGGATGAAGTGGATGCTCTGATTTATTATTGTTTATAAAGTGAACACTACGGAAGACTAACATACGCATTTCAGAGGTCTCCCGCAAATGCAGTAAACTGAACGTCAATAAGTGCCAATAAATTAATACAAGCAGCCAAAAGTGAAGCTACAAAGTGCAATACAAGATCATATAGAAGGAAAAATAACTACCAAGATAGAAAAACCAAGCAAACAGGTGCAGACTAAAGAAAAGGTTAGGAACTGACAAGAACCAGCGCAATACAGTTGAACCCATAGAGACATAAGAAGCAGAACATCACAGCATAATAAAGTAGAGCTAGTGGAGAACCGTAGGACAAGTAAAATACCATAGAACCAGTGCAATACCGATAGAATGTGTACCAGAGGTGGGCCACCAAAAACACATGCTTAAGCGAAAAAGAAACGCAAGGGACAAGGAAAATAATTAGTACGTTAACTAACAACGAGAGTGACAGTGAAGAGAACCATAATAAAACAATTAATGACACAAGTACCAAACACAACAGTTGACAAACCAAATTCTTGAAAAACTAAACTGCCTCTCCCTCGAAATAAAGAATAATAATGAAGACAGAAGCGAGGATAATCTCAAGCTAATGAACGAATTCAGAAACTTTAAGAAGGAAGTAACGAGCAACATAGAACAAATGAAAAACTGGATTGCTAAGAAAGAAGAAACATGGATGAAGGAAAAGGAACAATTTAACAAAAGAATCGAGGAACTAGAAAAGAAAGAAGAAAGTAGAAATAGAAGGGAAAGAAAAAACAATGTCCTAATTCATGACCTTCAGCATATGGAACATGACAATCTACAACTGGCTGAAAACTTCTTCAAAGAAAAGCTGAAAGTAAAATGCAGAGTTGAAAATGTACAAATAATTAGACCAGCTATACTTAAAACCAAACTAAGTAGCTGGAATGAAAAGAAAGAAATTTTAAAAAACAAGAAAACTCTACGTGGACAAAACATATACATAAACGAAGACTATACAAAATAAGAAAGTGCAATTCAACAACACATTCGATCAGTGGCAGAAGAGAAAAGGAAGACTGGGAAGAAAGTCAGGATAGGATATAAAAAACTGTATGTAGAAGACGAGATCTGGGATGAAAAAAGCAACACAATACAAAAAGAAGAGGATCGCTACAGAATGAGGAACCAAACATACCACAACTCACAGGAAGCGAGAAAAGCAGAAGAACAGGAACGTGAAGAGAATGAGATGCGCTTGACCACAAGAACACAATCACAACGGCAAACCGTGCAAGAGAGTCCCATGCTAATGGACTTTCTTCGACACCAACGCAACTAACAATTATCGACATACTATGACAGATGAGTCGAACGCCGAGGGACCAAACATTCTATTTTGGAATATACACGGATGGGAAAGACTCATTAATATAACAAACGTAGAATTTAACGAACATCTAAGGGACTGCAGCATCATAGCTGTCAGCGAAACAAAAAATAAGAAAACTTCCAGAAATGTTCAAACACATGAGCTGGGTAAAAGAAACAGCCACGCAGAAAAAAGATATGGGAAGAGCCAGCAGCGGAGGACTAGACACTTTGTGTGATTCCACAGTAATCATAGGAGTGCAGATATTACAACAATGTGACATATGAATTAGCCTTCTCTGTCGAATAAATGGAACAAAATTTATAATAGTCAGTGTATATATGAAGAAAATAAATTCTACGAAGCCAGACTAAGCATGCTGGAGGACGGCCTGAAAGGATGGACAAATAACAATAGAAATACACCTATAATAATCGGTGGAGACTTCAACGCGAGGATAGCGACGAAAAACCAAATAGACATAGAAGTGTGTGAAGGCTATAATATAAATCCAAACAGGCAAGCAGAAGATAAAACGCTCAACAGAAACGGAGTACAAATCCTCGAAACACTAGAACAGATAGGACTAATGGCGCTCAACGGAAGAACAGCTTCAGACGCTATAGGGGCTCCAACGTTCGTGGGAACCCAGAGGCTAAGCACTATCGACTACGCATGGGTGAACCTACAGGGTTTAGAGTTTATAAACGATTTTGAAGTTCTGACGGTAAGCCTATCGGGCCATCTCCCTATCAAAGTAACACTCAGTATTGGACCGCCTACAAAGACAAGAAGAACACATACCACAAAACGGGAAAGGATCATCAAGTGGATACCAGAGCAGAGATAATTACAGACGAATACTAGAAACCGATGAAACACAGGACTTACACACAGACAAATCAAAAATACAAAAATCAGCTAGACAGGCTGGAATGACCTCCACAAGGCCACTAGACCTCGCAATCTGGATCAAGGATCGCCCCTGGTTCAATAAAGAATGCAGGGAAGCCAAAAAGACAGTAAACAAACTACAAAGAAAGTATCTAAAAGACAAGGACACTACCAAGAAAGAACATTTCGCCAACGCCAGAAGAAACTATTTAAAAATCGTAAAAAAGGTAAAGGAGGAATATAACAAAGAAAGGGAGAANTTTTACCTGTTTTAAATGAATTTATGAGTGTAAAGACAAGCAATATTTTGAGCAATAAGTTGGTTCTACAGCTGTTTTAAATAAATGATACCAGGGAAGCCAAAAAGACAGTAAACAAACTACAAAGAAAGTATCTAAAAGACAAGGACACTACCAAGAAAGAACATTTCGCCAACGCCAGAAGAAACTATTTAAAAATCGTAAAAAAGGTAAAGGAGGAATATAACAAAGAAAGGGAGAATATGATAAGACAAGCCAAAGACATGGGAACATTCTGGAAAATTATTGGAAAACATAAAAAAAGGTCAACAATGGAGTCATCGATCTCGGTAGACGACTGGTATACATTTTACACAATCAGAATGCCTGTAAAGTTGCAACCAAACCCAATACTGTACTACAAACACCCGACGCTGGATGTGGATATTACAACAGATGAAGTCACATACGCAATTAAAAGGATGAAAGCCAACAAAGCCCCCAGGTCCGGACGAGTTGTCGGCATACTTCTATAAAAACATGCCACCAAGCTGGTTGAATATATTAACAAAACTATTCAACAGAGCGTTAACCACAGTTGAAGTTCCAGAGGATTGGAGCCGCTATGAGGCAATCATCTTCTATAAGAAAGCAGACAAGCATGACCCACTTAATTATAGAGGCATCGCACTAGCGAACGTAGTAGCAAACATTTTCACGTCAATTCTTGCAAGAAAGTTGGCCGAATGGACTGAAAACCAAAGAATCTTTCCGGAATGCCAAGCGGGATTCCGGAGAGGAAGAGGGTGCGAAGATAACATTTTCACCCTGAATGCCAAGGTTACTGTCGCGATTACTGCGGTGTTCGTGGACATTCAAAGGGCATTTGACTCCGTGGTGCATGAAGTGCTAAGGAGTGTTACAAGTATACTACCCGACAAAAATAAAGACAGCACCAGGTTGTAAAACCAAAGAAATCACGATAACAGAGGGAGTATTACAGGGAGACCCACTAAGTGCGCTCCTATTCATACTACTATTAGCAGATATCACAGATTACTTCAAAGCAAAAGGACATATAAACATCGAAGAAAGAATTGAACTCCTGTTATTTGCCGACNTTGTAAAACCAAAGAAATCACGATAACAGAGGGAGTATTACAGGGAGACCCACTAAGTGCGCTCCTATTCATACTACTATTAGCAGATATCACAGATTACTTCAAAGCAAAAGGACATATAAACATCGAAGAAAGAATTGAACTCCTGTTATTTGCCGACAATCTGGTAATACTAGTAAATGACATCGCAGACCTTCAACAGAAACTAACTACCCTACAAGACTATACCGAAGAAAACGGACTCACGGTCAACACCACGAAGACGAAAGGAATGTTATTCAAGAAAGCAGGAAAGTGCCTGAGGTTGAGGAAGCTGCGATATAAAGGGCAAGAGATCGAAATGGTCAAAAATTTCACATACCTAGGAATACAGTTTACAACATCAGGATTATTCACAGAAGTGGTCCAATCTTCTAAAACGAGAACCAGAATGGCCTGTTGCGTTTTTTGAGAAAAGTAAACAAAATGAAAATTACAATAGACACGAAAAGTATATGTAGAAGCTGCGACCGAAACGAAAATGAAACACTGGAGCACATAGTATGAAAATGCCCGGCATATAAAGAATTTAGAGAAAGGTATATCAAAGGAAACACAATTATTGAGGTGCTAAGAATAAAAAATAATGATGAAGCGTGCAAATTGGTATATTTTGTACAAAACTGTGTGAAACTGAGGTCATTTATGTTAAGCGAATAGCAATGTTAGGTTAAAATAATTCGAAGTGGTCTGTATTCTGTCGAAACTGCCAGACGCGGATCGCGACTTCGATCTTTTTGGATCTCATCATCGCGTCGATTATGGTAACGTGCCTATCACGTTGAGGTGAGCTACGCCGGGATTCGTTTCAGCAAGTAGATATCCATATTTTTAAAATGGACCTTATTGGAGCATACGTAGTCCTGGAATGTGGTGGCGTGCTGCAGATGGCGTTTGCCGCGCCATTTGTGGTATATTCAATGTTAGGTTAGGTTAGGTTGAGATCATTAAAATAAGATAGCCAGTATCTTGTAATAGGCCTATGGCCTGTAACAAGTATGTACACAATAATAATAATAATAATAGCCAGTATCTTGTAATAGGCCTATGGCCTGTAACAAGTATGTACACAATAATAATAACATATAC